TTCTGCCTTGTTTGTCTTTAAATAGCTGCAAAATTATTTCAAGAAAGTTTGCGAAGAGCATGACAGATATTTTGCTAAAATCACTCCCTTTTTATATTTAATTTGAGTTTTTAATATGTTCAGTGTTAATTAAATTTACTTCTTTTCTTGTTTGCTGTTTTGTTTGTGTCTGGTATGAAAAAGCAAAAGCTGTTTAATATTGCTCCCCAGTGCTGATTCTTTTGAATAATCATGGCTGGCAATAATGGTATGTTTTGCAATGCAAAACACTCACATATTCCTTGCTGTCAGACTGGCTGTGAAAACAGGGGAGGAGTTTCAGGCTTTAGCACTCTGTCTTTGTTTAATTCTAGACAGTCACTGCCATTTGCTCAGTTTGTATAACAACATAAAAGAGAACTCAAGAACTATAGAGAACCGGTGTTTGTCTGTTTTATGATTTTGATTCAATTCAGGATAGAATTGGTACAATTTAAGATGAATTTGTCATCTTCCAAAGAAAACAACAACAATAAAAAACAAACAAACAATGAATTCAATGGATTTTCCCTATGAAAAGGAATAGAACTCATAAGAAGCAGAAAGTAGAAGTACGTCACAAAACATTCAGATGTGAGAATATGACAAAAAAAGACAGATCAACAGATCAGAAAGACAAAAGACAGACTGCGTGAAGAATACTTCACCAAGGCAGTTGAAGACACCTCTGCATTTGAATTTCGCTTTTACATTTAGTAGATATCATTAACCTGTGCTGAAACTGGCAGAAATTCATGCACCTTCTGACACATGAAGCAGTCGTTCCCATACGCTTTTCATTATATGCTCACTCTCTTTGATTTCTGGTCTTACACATGGACAGTGGTTGCAATAGTGAGAGATGGGGAAATGTATCTTGTGATGACAAACTTTGCTGGAAGAGCTATAATTACATCGAGTTCTGGTCATTTGTGGGGGTTTCATGTGATGAGCACATACAGTACTTAACAGGCAAAGAGCGTAGTAACAAAATATTCTAATACTATATGCATAAATAATGTGATGTTGTGCCTCTGCTTTTAGAAAGGCTGCGACATAAAAATAGTGTGAATACAGGTAAAGTGAGACAACAAAAATGTGACACTTACATTTTGTATTTAATATTTTCCTTTTCCTCTGTATAATGTTGTAAGGAACTTTAGCCCTTCACACAATTTCATAGCATCATATTTTAAAACAAAGACTAATTATAAGCTATCAGAAAGTGTCCCACTACACAGTTTTTTAACTGTGTAAGACACTTTGATCATTTATAGTTTGTCTTGTTCAAAAATATTATTCTGTAGCATCTGTAAAATTTTAAGTAAAAATGGCAGCTGTTGTTGCCAGAAATTACTGTAAAAAAATACAGTAGCAACATTTGATCATTATTGTCATGTTTTTTTCTTTATTTGTTTTTATTATTATTATAATATACAGACAGCCACCTTCAAAACATGTGGTAAAAAGAAAATCACTTGATGAATCAAAGATCATCACAAGTAGCTTTTCCACAAGCTGAGGTACAGTAAATACTAAAATATAGAAGGTGCATGGTGCCATACACACACACACACACACACACACACTGTTTGGTTTACTATCCTTGTGGGGACTCTCCATAGGCGTAATGGTTTTTATACTGTACAAACTGTATCGCCCTACACTTAAACCCTCACAGAAAACGTTCTGCATTTTTACATTAGTTAGAAACAGTTATTTCAATGAAAAACTCTTGAATCCTTGTTTTTTTCTGTAAATTACAAGATGACGTTCTTTTTCACATCCTAAAATTGTACATTTAACAGTATTTAACTGTAAAATTTCATGTAAAATAGGTCTATTACAGTTTTTCGCCATATAGGGTAAGTGAAAAATGTGTTAAAATTACAATCTTTTTTCTGTATTCATCAATTTCTGCTAAAGGAAAAACACAACCGAACAGATTGACCCCTAGAAAGTTTTAAACCCTTGAAGACCTTTTTCCACCAACTTCTCCTGTCATGACATCTTAGCATAAAGCTTAAGCCCTGTGGATGTTGTTGAGCAGAAAAACAGAGTGAGAGAAAAAAAGAAATGTAAAAAAAGGTCAAATAAATAAGTGGATCAAACAACAACAGAGCATGTTGACTCAAATTGACTGTGGTGAGTGACTGAGGGTTCTCTTCAGGTCATTAAGGATTTCATCAGGCAGCGTGGAGAACGCATGAGCCTTGCCACCAAACACACGTTTCCAAGTTCTTCACAGGCTCCAGATTTGCCTCTCTAGCCTCTCCACATACATTGGCATGTGTGAAAAAAAGGCTTCACTTGTACCCATGCCAGGCAGATCTGTATGCAGCCTCTTCATTTGGATGCTGTTGGGTTTGACCAACTGGAGGGATGACTAAGATCTGGTCCCATCTGGTGGCCTGCTAGTCATTTAGGCCCTGTTTGGATTACATTTCTCTATAAACAATGTTTCTCTTATTAAAGGAAGAGATCACCCAAAACTGAAAATTTCTTGAAAATGTACTCAGCCTCAGGCTATCCAAGAAGTAGATGAGTTTGTTTCTTCATCGAACAGATTTTGAGAAATGTATCATTACATCACTTTCACCAGTGGATCCTCTGCAGTGAATGGGTGCCGTCAGAATGAGAGTTCAAACAGCTGATACAAACATCACAATAATCAACACGATACTAGACCATCAATTAATATCTTGTGAAGCGAAAAACTTGCAATACATTTTTTAACTTTAAACTTTAATTAAATTAAAATGAATGTTTTCAGTTTTAGTGGCCTAAATATTTATTTTCAATGTATGTTGAATATGAGACCAAATCAAGATGCAGGTGTTTCTGGTAAGATGATTTAATTTCAGAATAATGTTGAACATAATGTAATTGACAATTGAACTGACAGTTTAGAAAGATAATATCTATAAAAAATTAAAAAGAACATCTGAAAAAATGCACAATGCACAATGGCGCCGACGCTGATGGCTGCCTCCGTGGCGTGCTCTGCAGTTGTTTTTATGTTTTTGTTAGTTTGTCCTGTCTTTAGTTATATCCCTGCAATCAGTTTCACCAGAGACGAATTGCTGGACATTCGGAAGTACACACCACCCGATATTTCACCGGTTTTCGACTATTCGGATGTTTTGCTGGACATTGTTGTCGGGGGAGCTGTTTTTATTATCTGTGTTTTTGTTCTGTCACTGTCATTCTGTTACACTGTGGAGCTTCTGTCATGAAAACAAATTCCTCGTATGTGTAAACATACCTGGCAATAAAAACTCATTCTGATTCTGATTCTGATTCATTCTGATTCTCATTCTGAAACTGCCAAGGAGCTGGTGCACACACCAGTCAAAATTAATATGCAACAAAGTAACATGCATATTATGCAATTATGAAATATTAATGTCATCTTTAAAAATAATAAGGCATCATCTTGTCACAAAGATCTGACACACTGATTTTAATCATGACATAAAAGCTTCAATTCATTTGTTCTAAGCTGTCAATGAAGCAGAAAAAGGTAGCATCTTAATATTGTTGATAGGTTTAGAGGCCTCTTAGGGATGTCTTGTCTACTGTATATAGGTGCACTATTATACAGAACGTGAGTTAGGGAATATTAATATTAATAATACCTTTTAAAGTGTGTGGGTGTTTTTTCAGTTGCTGTATGTCATGTGGTTTGTTGAAGATCAGTATTATTATAGTGAATATCATAAAATAAAAAAGATACACACAGAAACAACTGAGCCATTTACAAAATATTTCAGCAATTTCAGCAATGTGAATATTAACAATGTGTAAAAGACAACAAATATTTTACTCTGAGTGTAATTACTTGTATATGGCAGAGGGGGGCCCCCAAGGTAACAATTTAAAATGCCCAGCGGGTCCTGATAATACAAAGATCTTCCACATGGGGGCGTCACAGAGGTCACTGTCCACTAAGAGCAGCGAAACCACATAGTGATAATATGAGTACACATAATGTGCCTTGTCATCTTTTAAACCCTAAATTAGGTGTCAGAAAACAGGGGGACTTTGGTTGACTGTTAGAGAAGAGTAAAATACTGCTTCAGTGCATTGATTAATTATTGAAGAGAAATATTATAGGACATTGGATTGGTATAACATTGGATACAGGATTTGTGGGTTATTGCAGACTGCTGCGCATTATACTGTTAATATTCTAGGCTGAGTACACGTTAAGTGTCCTACATTTGATTGCAGTGCATTTTAGTGGATTTTCAAAAGCATTGCTCGAGGGAGGACAAAGACACTCATTTGTGGAGTGGGGCTGGACGCTGTTTAATTCAGTAAATAATATGTGCTTTTGCTGTGAGGAAATGACCATTAACCCTGACATCAAAATTAAATGACCATTAAAATGTTATTAAATCTTGTTAAATTCTTTATAATTCTATAATTATATTCTAGCATTTTAGTCCTCTATTTTAATATCTGAAACAAAATTTAAATTCAAGAATGAGGCAGCAGCAACAATATCACAATGTACACAACAATAGTATATTAACAAAATATTCAGTGTGCCATGACTGTGGAATTATGGGTTATATATATAATGGTAATTAAAGCAGTATTTGGACAGTGATCCTTATTATTCATTTGAGGTGGGATTTTTTTTATTTTTATAAATGATGTGAAATTAATAATTGAGCAGTGGAATTGTCCTGATTTGAGCACTTTGTTATATATTTAGAGGGGATAAAAAAAAAGTCTGACCAGGAATCAATCCCAAAATAATTTAATAATTAAATAATTTCAACACTTAAAAATTTGCTAAAATGAAAGAATGGATGAATGAATTAATTAATGAACAAATTATGCTACTGTAATTTTCCCTTTAAACCACAACGAATCACAAATCATTCATATACAGTAAATAGGTTAGAAAGCTTTTGTCTTGCGTTAATAAAAGTAACAGCCCGGAGTAAAAGGAGCAGATAGGAGGAGTTTGCGTTGCATCATCATTAACCGCGTGGCGTTGTCAATAACTCACAACGAGGAAAGTTAAATATTGAGAAGCGGGTAAGGTGAGCTGAAACTTAGTAACTATGAGGTCAATCACAGCTTCATTCCGACAGTAGCTACATATCCACTGGCAAGCCAGGTGAGAGGCGCCTTCCAGGAAACAGCCAGATTCTCTAGCACAGCTGAATGGCTTATAATTACAAAACTCTTGCCTGTAGTTTCCACTAAGGCTTTTCTTTGCTTGCGCATTGGAACATATCAAGTTTGCATATGATGAGCTGCGTCGGTTCATAAGAATTATAAATGTCCACTAAGACGGATAGAGACTCGCAGGTAGAAGTGACCCACCTAGATTCCCTCAAAGCAGAATGGGCTGAAGACATGGACGAGGAGAGCGTTGACGGAAGGGAGGTGATGAGGACAGATGAAGCTCCAGCGCCCCGCAGACTCAGCCGCAACCCGAAGTGCGCTCGCTGCAGGAATCACGGCGTCGTGTCGCGCCTCAAGGGCCACAAGCGCCTGTGTCGCTGGCGTGACTGTCAGTGCGCGAACTGTCTGCTGGTCGTAGAGAGACAGCGAGTGATGGCAGCGCAAGTCGCCCTCCGGAGACAGCAGGCCACAGAGGTTGGTTGACTGAGCAGGGTAGTTTAAAGCTTTCTGTGTGCTCCAGTGGAGCTAAAAACGGTGTTATTTGCAAACAAAGTGACATTGTATTGTTGAAGGATTTGAGAATGTGTGTACTTTCTTGTAGCAGACTTAAACGGCAAACGTTTAAGCAGTACTGCAAATGATATATATATATATATATATATATATATATATATATATATATATATATATACACACACACATTTGAATTTTTACTTTATTTGTCAGAATTATATTGATACATGTAATTTAAATGTAAAGTTTGCTGTAATGGAAAGTTTGCAGTTCAAGCCTGCCACATTTATTAATGAAATCAGATTTTTGAAAACATGTTTTTGCTTCTGTATTAGGGCAAAATCATGTTACTGCAAAAAAAAAAAAGAGTCTGTTGCATAGTTAACTACCCTTAAAAGAAGTACTGTGGCAATATCATGATACAGGACTGGAATCAGATGGTTATAACATGATACGTTTGTATATAAAACAATACTGATTGCGACCATATTCATGTATATTGGTATTTAAAAAGTACTCCAATACATCTCAAAGAATACCATGGTACTACAATGGTGCATTCGCTTGATTCCCTTCAAATGTATATATTTCTATAAACAAGAATGCTTTACAGTCATTTTCAAAACATACTATTGTCATAATTAATGCTTTACTATTATTTCAATGATACACATCTTCATCACAAAATTCCTGAGAGCAAACAACATAAATTAATTGCATTTTAAGTAGTCTAGTTAGACATTCAAAGCTGTGTGATGCACTAGATATTGTTAAGAAAAAGGACACTGTTTATGAAAAACAAGACATCCATTGGCATCATTGTAGAGTGAGTATCTTATATCTATCCCATAAATTAATGCTGAGTTATGCATTCTCTTTAACAGGGTAAAAAAGGTCAAAAAAACACCTCTGTTCTCAGACGCACAGCTTATCAGTGCTACACGAGGGCACCTAGTCTCCTGGCAAAGAGTATTCTAGAGGGTAAGCCTTAATTAATGCACATCTCATTAACACGACTGCACCCTGAAAGGCGACATCGGGAGGAACTGGATTAGTTCACCCGTTATGCTAAAGAACCCTCTGTCGGGAATAAATATGTTTGTGTTTATGTAAGGTAATTAAAATTATGCAAATTTATAGAGGAATTACAAAAAAAATGGGCTCATATGACTACTTTGGAGTTTGATTTTCCCTGATGCGTTTCTCACTGTGTCAACATTAAGGTCAAACTGATTTAATTGTTATCATAAATTTGAATATGCTTCATTTGTTTTTGTACCATTAGAATATTTAAAACTGTTATACTTTTATGAGTTCCACATGGAGTTTAAGAAATGTATTTTTTAATTCTTCTGAAATTAGGTGAAAATAATTTGTGCAGCTAATTTTACAGTACTTAAGAAATGCATTTAAAAAGTGGTGCTCAAATGTGGGTCATGACCTAAAAATGGTCCACATGTCTGTTTTGATTTGTCATGGTCAGCAGGAAAAACCATTAACAGATGCAAATAAAAATGTAGCTAACCATGTAATGATACATAAGACTGCAAAATATATAGGCTTGAAAGAGACGACAAAGCACTTTGCATGCTTTCCATTTGTTGCTGACATCAAAAGCTCTGCTTTTCTTTCTAAAGAAAAACTGTAGGAAAAAGTGACAGTAAAGACAAGTAAAGACATTTACAGTGGTGTGAAAAAGTGTTGGCCCCTTCCTGATTTCTTTTTTTTTGCATGTTTGTCACACTTTAATGTTTCAGATCATCAAACAAATGTAAATATTAGTCAAAGATAACACAAGTAAACACAACATGCAGTTTTTAAATGAAGGTTTTTACTATTAAGGGAAAACAAAATCCAAAACTACATGGCCCTGTGTGAAGAAGTGTTTGCCCCCCTGTTAAAACTGTGGTTTATCACACCCTGTATACTGTGACAAAAGATTTATATTTCAAATGAATGTTGTTCTTTTGAACTTTCTATTTATTAAAGAAGTCCTAAAAAATGTAGCACCATTTCTAGAGAAATATTAAGCAGCACATCTGTTTTCGACATTAAGCAGCACCAAATCATCAGATTAGAATGATTTCTGAAGGATCATGTGACACTGAAGTTTAAAGTAATGGCTGCTGAAAATTCAGCTTTGCCGTGATAGGAATAAATTACATTTAAAATATATGAAAGTAATAATATTCCACTATATTACTGTCTTACTGTATTTTCTTACTGTATTTTCAAACAAATAAATGCAGCCTTAGCAAGCATAAGATATTTCTTTAAAAAAAACAATAACTAAACAAAAGTTTTTTCTTTACTTGACTACTTGAATCCAAAGTATCTCCATTTATAAGGTTTCTTTTATATGTGAAACAGTTTATTCTGGTAGACTCTTCTAATATTTTTACATTTAAATGTGACTTGATTATGAACAAGAAAAATCGACTATTTTAATACTCCTTCATTATGTTGTAGGCTACAAGCCACTTGTGCTGGAGGACTGGCCTAAGAGACTCCACCAACCCCCAGTCAGTGTTCGTATGAGGAAGAGGAGAGCGTTTGCTGATAAAGAGCTGGAGACTGTGATGCTGGAAAGAGAGCTGAGGCAAAGAGAGATGGAAGAGTTGCCTGCGCTCCTCCTCCAGGCTGTGGTGCCATCTGCTCCCACTCTGTATTTTTCCCCGCTGTCAAACCCAGTCATGCCCACTTACATGCCTGTGTCCAAAAGCGGCCCTCCTTTGACTGACTGTGATCTCCCTCACCATCAACACATGCTTAAATCCAAGACTTTAGATTGCGGCACAGACAAACTGACAGACAGCGTCTCTCTAAGTGTGTGTGAGAACTGGGATCTTTTCAATTCGATTCGGCCTCCACCGTGCTGCTACAGCACAAGTCCAGGTGACAACATGGTTAAAAACATGCGCTGCAGGTCATTGGGACACGAGGCCTCTGTACACATGGACTGTATGGAGGGTGCAAATAAAGACCCCATCAAAAAAGCTGTAACACGGCCATTACCTTTTTCTGTAGAGGCATTGCTCATGAGATAAGAATATTTTTTAAAGCTAACACTTTACAATAGGTTTCAGTTTGCTAACACAAGGTATTACATTACATTAACAACCAATGTAATTTTTTACACTATTAATGTTGATATCTACATACACTAATAAATTTTTAACATTTCAAGTTATATATTAACATTACCTACTGTATTATGAATAAACGTTATGAATTAACGCCTAATGCTGTTAAAAAGCTAATTGTTAGTTCATGATACCTAATGAATTAAGTGATGTTAACAAATTAAACTTTTTGTAAAATGTGACCTTTTCAATTTATATTCGACTGAAACAGTGTTGAGGAGCCTCTAGCTATAATTTATCTAGATTTACAGTAGCATTTAAGCAGCTGAGCTTTTTAAAAATAATAATAATAATGTAACAGTGTAGCATGACAAAATGCTACATAACTCTTTTTTGTCACATTAATGATATACACGCAGTCAAGCAAGCAGAGGAAATAATCAAACACTTTCTTAAACTGTTCTCTCTCTCTCAAGTAGTGTTGAGAAATACGATTTATTTGAGTGAATCGGTTCAATTGAACCATTCATGTAAATGAACCTGTTCATAAACAACTAACCAGTTCATTCGTCCTTGTGCACAAGTGTCTGTGTTCATCACTATGTTTCCTATTCAGTTATATAAATATGATGTTACTTTCAGTTTTTATAATGTTTTTTATTTTTTATACAAAGCTGAACTTTTAGGTTTAAGGAATCAAAAGATTCAAGTTGTTGGGATGAATCAAAAACCCTCTACTAATAAGCTTTTCTATATAAATAAAAATATACATAACCAGTAGTTTAACTACTTTTTAATGAAGCTTCCCCAACACTGCACTGAACATTTAAATAATCAGTAACTTTCCTGTTTAATAAAACACTTTTGATTAGAGCACATTTGATTCATTCATAAAGTTGTTGAAATTATTTTCCTATTTAAATCAATTATATGAAATTGTTAAATTACGTAGTATAGAATATACATGCATCTTACTAACCTTTATACTTTATACCTTCTTTTTCCAGTTCTCTATTTCACAATATTTGATTTATTTATTTTTTTCTGTTTAAAAAACATTGTGATTTTTCATTCTTGTAAATGTAAATAGACATGACTATCCCTATTTTGTAAATTATTCACATTTTTAAATTCCAAATATGAAAGTCTGATGTAAATGCATAGGTAGCTGAGGATCAAATAAAAGAGTGGTGGAAAAAAAAGATTAGTTTCTCTCTCTCTTCCTTTAATGTGAATTAGTGATGTAGCTCATATGGTGGTTGGATTGAAGTGATGCCTGGTACATCTGTGTATTTAAGCTAGGCTCCCCACAAAGGTGCTTTGAACTGTTTCTGCGGTGTTCATAAAATATTTTTAATTTTAAAGAAAACTGAAAAGGGCTCTTAGACAGGAACCAACTCAAAGTGTAAAACTAAACAGGTGAGGAGAAAGACACATGTGCCTGAGGGTTCAGAGGCAAGAAACAATTCTAATATGAGCTCAAGAGGACAAATTCTTCAGTATGTGTTCTCCCTTTTCTTTCTACAATCTTAATCAGGATTCAGGAAGTTCATACAAGTCCTCTTATTCCTGTCAGTATTATGAAGGCAAGTGAATGTGTTGGCTCAGCCACATTGTGCAATATTTTTGGGAGTGTATCGCAACAATGTATATCCTCTCTTTTCTATCCTTTGTTTATTTTCCATTTCAGTTTTTGAGATATGGCAGCCTGATAGTTTTGACAACTCTGGACCATGTGGCGTCAACATGTGTGATGGCATCATGCCCTCGTCTATGTCTGTCTCTGTATCTCAGCACATCTGCCAGTGCAGATAGGGGTTTTACATTAGGAGCCTTCCTAAGGAACCATAGGCTGAGAGGGGAGATCTTTCAGTGGTGAGATGAGTGCAGAAGGAGTGCATTATTTTTAAATGATAATCATGATCTATATCAAAATCCTCAGTTACTTGAGGTCATAATAGTTGTGGAGAGTGCTTAATGCCATACAGTATTAAACTTTTTTTGTCACAAAATATATTTACTTTAATAATTTAAAATGTATTTTAGTTGCTTAGTATATTCTTCATGCATCCCAATTTTCATACTATGGTGTCACGTCCCAAATCATAATACACCACTGTTTAAAAATTTGGGGTTGGTATGGTTCTTAGGCATTTTTTGTATTACAATTTAAAATAACTGTTTCCTGTTTTAATATATTTATAAAATATAATTTCTTCCTGTGATGGCAAAGCTGAATTTTCAGCAGACATGATCCTTCAGAAATCAATCAGATTTGCTGATTTGGTGCTCAAGAAACATTTATTATTATCAATGTTAAAAGCAGTAGTGCTGCTTAATATTTTTGTAAAAACCGTGATCTTTTTTTCAGGATTCTTCAATTAATAGAAAGTCATGAACTTTGTCATTTATTTGAAATAGAAATCTTTTGTAACATTATAAATGTCTTTACTGACACTTTCAATCAATGTAATACATCCTTGCTGAATAAAATTAATATCTTTAAAAAACAACTGACCCCAAACTTTTGAACTGTAGTGTATACTTTCATAGGGAAGTAGGTATAGGAGGCATAAGTAGATATAGGAGCTAGGATACAGCATTTAACTGAATTAATTTCATTTTAATAACAAATAACTAAATATAGAAGATTGCAGATTTTTAATATGTATTATATAATGAAATAAACTACAATGTCTATTCCCAAATCTGGGGTGTACGCACACACACACACAGATACACCCCAGATACATGAACTTTTGAGCATGGCATTATAAAAAGGGAATGCATATTTCATGTAGTGCTGCTAGCATGCAAGCATACAGTACATTACAGTTTACCAGTGGGCAAAATTGTTATTCTAAACCCCTGAACCCCTTTCATTGTAAATTTATTTATTCCCACAGTCTGCTCTAGCATAAAGTCACCCTAACTTGTTTGTGTAATCGAGATATCAGCATATTCTTTCTCCTGACATGGTATCGACAACATTTAATATCAAGGTCCAAGGGGGCTGCTTTGATCCTAGTGCCAGCTCCCAACTCAAGCAGAATTTGCCAGATTGAGACCCTGCGCTTGGCATGCATAACCCTGAAAAACCCCTGCATACCCCGCTGCTCTTGGGTTACACGGCTCCCCTCTTCCTCCAAACAGGGGGTGTCTCTTTCAGTGTGGGTGGGCTGGCCCTCAGCCGCTCACCTGCTGTGTCCAATAAAAAACTCTCTTGTGTCATGTGTCTTTGGCCTTGGGATAAACAGACAGTTTCCACGAGGCACAAAACGTAAACAGACTTGATTTCTAAGTAAGTATTTGTTGTGGGTAAAAGGCAGTGTCAAAAGGCTATAAATATATATTATATTATTATAAATATATATCAAAATATATTCTCTCTATATATAAAATATAGAGTAAGACATTGTTTCCAGCATGGAGGAATCTGCAAAACTACCCAAGCAGTTTCAAAGTACATCACAACTTGGGCTGTGCGTTTAATAATACACAAAATACTGAATATTTCAAGCCGCAGCTTGTGAAAATCTGTTTTGCTTTTTCTCAGGTTTTTGCGGTCACAAATGCAGAAGTAACATATTTTCAAGAGGATCTTTTTACTCTATTCTGACTGTTTAGGTGAAAACAGAATCTCTCTAAACCAGTTACAAGTTGATTTGCAGAATAAGCGATCTGCCAGCAACACAATACAAACTAATTTATTAACAAGAAAATCTGAGCTCTCTTACAATCAAAATGTTGTCTCTGTAAATTCAAAAACCAATCTCTCAGCAAGTATATACAGTATATTTGCAGACATGCTTTTTTTCAGAGCACAACTGTGGGATTGAAATTTTACACACTTAAAACATTACTGTTGGGTGAAAAGGGTCCCTACACTTCCATCATAGGAATCAGTTTTTTCTTGTCCCCTAAACTGGGGCTCTTGTTTTGTGGCGTTCAACTGGAGCCAAAGCAGAACCTGTGCTGACTGCAGCAGCTGTGTAGCTATACTGTTACATTCTCCTGGGCCTCCCAGTTCCTAAAATCCACCTTTCCAATTCAATACAAAGCACAGACTCTCTTAAATGTTAAACCACCAGAGCCATTACTCTGCATAATTCAAGATGCTCTGCCCATCAGCCTCCATTCAAACTCTCCAAACTCTTCAGGTTCAAAAAATGTCTCATTCATTGAGAAATGTGGAATCAGTGGAAGCAGAAATGAGAAATTCAAATTAACCACGGGAAGACTCTGAAAAAAGGATTATGTAGCTAAAATTAGGTAAATGTTTGGTGATAAATCACTGCACCATTGTTTCTGTACTTCTTCATTGTTTCTGTCTTCTACTGGAACCAGTCCAAAGAACAGTTGTTCAAAGCTGTTCAAAATGTTACCAGATAATCATTTTTATTTAAAAAGAAAAAAAGGAAGAAAGATGCCATTTGATAATATTGCTGATATCAAAGTATGCCTAGAAAATAGTTCATTTCCACCATTTTACAATGCCCCTTAATACAATATTGTAGCATTAAAACAATTTAAATGCATGTTTTTTTATTATCATTTACTTACCCTCACGTCATTCCCAAATCAAACACAAAGGGTGAATTTTTTAATATTCCTGGCCACTCTGTTACATAGTATGGAAAACAATGAGGAATGGGGTTGTGAAACACCATAAAAGTGGTCCAAATAAACATTGTATGGTGCTAGTTTTCATTTTGATTGTTCAATTTCATTAAATGAAAAAGAGTGGCAAGGATTTTGACCTAAAGCTAAAAAGTAATATCCACCTTATTGTGCAATGTGGTAGTAAGCTTTTGTTTGAATGTGCCAGATTCATTAGCCACTAGGTAAATAACTAGACGAATGACAAAGTGCTGTAAATAGTAAACATTTTTACACTACAAACCAGTGCATTTATGATTATGATAAGAAATTAAAATAATACAATAACAAATACCAGTTTCAATATAAAGGAGCATAACACACTGTTTTTGTACTAAGTGAATAACACCGGAAGCCTCGCACGTTCAAGTTGCAATTGCCACACTCACTCTCGTTAAAAATAAGATGGATTAGATTGACATAAGGTATAAGTAAATAAGAACAGAAT